TGGGGCACCCGGGGAGGCTTTGCGGGGGCTCCCTCCCAACCTCCAGAAGGCTTCCGGAGAGGCTGTTCGCTCGGGAGGGCTTCCGACGCCACCCTGCCCGAGTTTCTGGTCTTGTCCCCTGCCTTTTCTTGCGCCTGATTTTATCTGTTGACTGATTTTATTTTCATTTCCTTGTTGCTGTGTTTTACCTCCCTGGCTGCAAATCATCCGGAATCATGCTTGGCCTGAATGGCAAGCTATACAAATCTGGAAAAGAAATAAAATAAATGTATCAATCTAGGACGCAGATTCCGTTCCAGTTTCTAAGGATGGGCAATCTCTAATGCCTCAAAGGAGCCGTTGAGACAGAAAATCTGAACTCACGCCTTGCATCTCCAGGCATGAAATACAACTCTGGGCCTTTTTTTCTACAGAATGGATTATGCCGCGAAAGGAATAAGAGGAAGATCAGGATCAAAATTTCAGGATTTAGGGGAGTGCAAACGAGGACCGAGAAGGAACTGGAGCATGAAGTGGCCACTTTTGGGCTTGTAGCCATCAACTCTAATGAAGACAATTTCAGATTCTATAACTGAGGTGAGGTTCCCTTCGAAAGAGGGTTGGGTGGTTTTGGCAAGAACTTTGGACGGGGTTTGGTAAAGACCTGCGAGTGTTGGTATAAAAAGATACAACCCATAAAACAACAAGAGAAATGGCAATGTGTTGCAGGGGGTAGAGAACAGGGTCCAGGAGAGGTGGGTTCAAATCCCTGCTTGGCCATCAAAACTCTTTTTGATGACAATGTTATTATTTATTACGTCCTGTCAAGTTGCCTTGGACATCGAGCAGTCCTAGGAATGAGCCACCTCTGGGAGGTCCTGTCCTCTACAGCTCTGCCAGTCTCTTGCAAACCCAAAAGCTGTGCGTTCCTTCATGGAGTTGATAGTTGATCCACTTCACATTGACCTGTTCCTCATTTCCTGCTGCCTCCTGCCTTGCCTAGCATGACAGTCTCTTCCAGGGAATCCTGCTTTCTCCCGAAGGGTCCAAAGGAGGAGTGCCTCCGTTCCATCCCTTTTGCCTCCAGAAAAAAACCAGCCTTTATTTGCTCCAGGACCTGCATCCAGATTCGAAAGGCTGCGTGGCAGGGTTTGTGACCCTTCTAGAAAGACGGTGTCAATCAAAATGACAACAAATAGTTGCAGCTTGTATTCCCAGCCATGTGCCCGTTGAGTCACTTGGTGCACGACCAGGAATGAGAGCAGCCGTTACTTCATTGAGAACAATTTATTCTGTGGCACTTGCAGCTGCTTGAATCTCCAGGAGGCTTCTGAATCCTCCTCCTCATATCATCATCCTTTCTGTCGTCCACCCAGGAATCTTTTCAGCTAAGTGCGAACATCACAAGCTAGGGCACGCCGTGCTGGTGGTCGGCTACGGGGAACTGAAAGGGAAAAAGTACTGGATTGTGAAAAACAGGTGAGACGGCGCCCAGGCCGGTCAAGCTGAAGGGTGTTATGGACATGGAGAGTCGTGGCGGATGAAACAGGACTGATCCGGATGGGTGCTAAGAGGAGGAGGAGAGGATCCCTCCGGCACCAAACTCAGGGTACCTTTAAATGTAAGGGTCAGGAGGATCCGTTTTGCTTCAACGTCTGTGGAAGCAAACCTCCTAGCGTTTCCTTCCCTCTCCTTCAGGCCACCAGTTGTGCATGGTTCGCACAACCAGGTGTGCTTCGGTTGCCCAACCGGTTGTCCAAAGCACCGCTCACTGGACAGAGGAAAACCAGGGAGTGTCAGTCAACAGCGTTTTGGCCGAGGATTTTTGCACCCGACTCAGTGCCAGTTAGGGGGTCAGACTGGGATCCAGGAGGCCCA